ATTGTTCCCACGTGCTACATGGTATTTCATTGTGTAAATGTACCATAATTTCTCAATCCATTCAGTTGTGGTTAGACATCTAGGCTATTTCCATGTTCTTGTGATGGTGAATAACGCTGCTATGAACATTGGTGTATAAGTCTCCATTTGTGCCTCAGTTCGAATTTTCTAGGGGTATATTCCAAGTTGTGGAATAGCTAGGCCATATGGAATTTCTATGTTCAGCTTCTTGTGGAAGTGCAAAACTTCCTTCCAGAGTGGTTGTACCATTTTACAATCCCATCAACAATGTCTAAGAGTTTCTATCTCACCACAGCCTCTCTAATATGTATTACTTGCTGTCCTGTTAAACTTTGCCACTTCAAGTGGAGTGAGATGATATCTCATTGCGGTTTTGATCTGCATCTCTCTTATTGCCAGTGATTTGAAGCATTTCTTCATGTGTCTACTGGCCATTCAGATATCTTCCTTTGTGAAAATCCTTTCCATGTCTTTTGCCCATTTTGTAATTGAGTTATCAGATTTTTTTTTCTTGTAGAAGACCAGAAACATTCAATAAACTTTTGTTATGAGATTCTTGTCTGAGATGGTATTGCCAAATGTTTGTTTCTACTCGATAGCTTTTCTTTTCACCCTGTTGGAAAAAGTTTTTGATGTGAACATTGTTTTAATCTTTAGCAGGTCCCATTCTAAAATTGATGAATTTTATCTTCTGCAGATTGAGCATTATTTGCTTTATTTGAAAATATCTTTATATCAGAGACTAGGCCTTTTAAGCTTGATCCCAGTTTTTCTCTTGTGAACTTTGTGGTTTTGGGATTTACTCCCAACTCTCTGGTCCACCTTTAGTTGATTTTTGTGTATGGTGTGTGAGGTGGATCCTGTTTCAGCTTTCTGCAGGTGAAAGTCTAGTTTTGCCAGCACCACTTGTTGAAGTGGTTGTCATTTTCTCATTTTATAGGTTTTATTTCCTTGTAGAATATCAGTTGACCATAGATAGATGGACCTATTACTGGGTTCTCAATTCAGTTCCATTGGTCTATGTTCCTGTCATTGTACCACTACCATACTGTTTTCGTTACTACCGCTGTATAGTAGGTTTTGAGCTCAGGGAGTGCTATGCCTCCCACTTTATTTTTGTTTCTCAGAAGTGTTTTGTTATTAGGGGTCTCTTGCCTCTCCAAATATACTTGACAATTTCCCTTAGTATCTGTATTTGGATTGCATTTAAAAGGTAGATTGCTTTTGGTAGGATGGTCATTTTCATAATATTGAGTCTTTCTATCTATGAATAGGGCACATTTTTTTCCCTCTATTTCTTTAGATCTTTTATTGTATCTTGCAGAAAAGTTCTGTAGTGTTCTTTGTATAGGTGTTTTGTGTTTCTAGTTAGATTCACTCCCAATTAGCTCAATTTGTTGTCAGTTATTATAAATGATATTGCTTTCTTCTCTGAGTTCTTTTTGTTACTGTCGAGGAATCCCTCTGATTTTTGAATAGTGATTTTATATCCTGCAAATCTACTAAATTTTCCTTCTACTTTAACAGTCTTTTTGCTGAATATTTGAGGTTTTTCTATGTATACTCTTATATCATCTGCATATAGCGATAGTTTAACCATGTCTTTGTTGATCTGGATGCCATTTATTTCCTTCTCTTGTATTACCCTAGCAAGCACTCCCAATACAATATTGAATAGATGTGGTGACAGTGGTCATCATTATCTGTACCTGTTCACAAGGACAATACCTTTAGTCTTTCTCCATTGATAATGATGTCTCTTTTTTTGGTATATATTCTTTTCACTACGTTGAGGAAATTCCCTTCTATTCCGATTTTGCTGACTGTCTTTATCAGGAAGTGGTGTTGTATTTTATCAAATGCCTTTTCTGCATCAATTGCTAAAGTCATATGGTTCTTGTTATTTACTTTGTTAATATAGTGTTAATATTGTTTTTCTTATGTTGTGCCATCCTTGGATTGTTATGAAATCCACTTGATCATGGCGCTATGAGTCACAAATGACTCAGCAGCACATAACAACAACAACAACAACATGGTGAATTATTTCTTTTATGTGCTTTTGGATTTTATTGGCTAGGATTTTATTAAGGATTTTTACATCTATATTCATGAGAGATATGGGTCTATAGTTTTCTTTCTTGGTAATATCTTGTTTTTGGTATCCTGGTTTTGGTATTAGGGTTCTGTTTGCTTCATAAAATGACTCTAGGAGTTCTTCTTTTTTTTCAAATTTTTATAAATAATTTAAGTAGAATTGGTTATAGATGCTTTCTGAATGTTGGTAGAATTCAGGCGTGAAGCCATCTGGTTAGGGACTTTTCTTATGGGGAAGTCTTTTTATGAGCTTTTCCATTTATTCTTTTGTGATGAGTCTGTTCAAGTGTTCTATATCTGTCCTTGTCAATCTGGGTCGGGAATGAGTTTCAAGGAATGTTTCTATTTCCTCTAGGTTTTTAAAAAAATTATCAGAGTATAGCTTTTCATAGTATTCTGGTATGATCGATTTAATTTCATCTGGCTCTGTTGTGATGTAACCTCTATCATTTTTAATCAAGTTATTCATGTCTTTTCTCTCTGTTTTGTTTCTAAGTTAGACATTGATTTATTAATTTTATTGACCCTTTCAAAAAACCAGCTCCTGGTCTTAGTGATGTTTTCAGTTGTTCTTGTTTTCTGTCTCATTGATCTCAGCTCTTGTCTTTATAATTTCTTTTCTTGTAGAGGCTGTAGAGTTTAATTTTTAATTTTATTTGCCCAAGGCATTGAGTTAAAGAATTGATTTTTCTTCTTTCTTCCTTTTTTATGTGTGTGCTTATTGCTATGAACTACCCCTTGAGGACTGCCTTAGCTGTATCCCAGAGGTTTTGGTATGTTGTATTTTCATTTTCATTTGTTTCAAGGAACTGTTTTATTTTAAAAAAAAAATCCCACAGTTTATTTATCATTTAGTTCTTCCAAAATTGAAATAGCAAGTCCTATAATTAGGGAGCAAAAAAACCACAAATGAACAAAATCCAAGAACGCTCCTCTCTTTTCTGAAGTCACAGAACACAGAAGGAACTGCTGCAGTGGGGTAGGTGGGTACAGAAACCAGGAGGGGAAGATGGAAAGACATAACTCCTCAAATACTTAAAAAGCTGCTTACCAGAAACTGTGATAAATACAAGACAATGTAAGACAAGTAAAAAATGAGCAGCAGTGCTGAGAAGTTTTGCTTTAGATGTGGCCTCCCTTCTTTTCTTTTCTCATCAGGTTATTCTAGGCCCAAGGCATGACTTGTCCCTTCCAGATCAAAATGTTGACTCCTCTGAGCCACCTCTAGATTGCCCTAGAAGCTCTATGAGGCATGACCATTTTTCCACAGATAATATATCAGACAAAAAAGGAGACAGTGGTAGTTTTGTCTTCTACTATTGTCTGTGAATTTGGAGAGGAAAAAACCAAACCAGAGAGTGTCACTGCTTCTTATGTCTTCCAAGGCAGTAGAAGTACCTTAGAATCTGCATAAGGCAAGAAAAGAGGCAAACTCTGATAGAAGCACTAGCCCAATCTGCCTCACTAGCTCAAGTTGTTTGATTTACCACAACAGTTAGCAATTCCAAGAGCCTTTCCTTGAGTATTACAAAGATGGAACTTGAAGAGTTATGAAGAAGAAGGTCATGGCAGTAGAGTAGAATGAAGGGTCAAGAACCACGGTACAAATAGTTAAGGATCACCTTGTACCAATATCTTGGAACAAAAGCTTCAAAATAACAGAGATTTAGATGTCAGAAGCCATCAATGTCCTGGCAGAAGGTGACAGGAAGACAGAGGAATAATAATATTTATCAACAGCAGTAGCCTCCACACTTCTTCAAAACTACCTCTGCCCTTGCCATCTGGACGGGGCCATTAGCACATGTCCTAGTGGGCCTAGAATTCCCTGAGTAAATTTGTCCATACAAATGGCCCCCTAAACCCATGGCAAAACTTCCAAATAAAACAAAAGGAAAAAACACACAGTCTGTATGTCATATAAAATTTTCAGGGTTGGCTGGAGGAAGAATGGAGCTTAGGGTCAAAGTTCAGAAGTTACTTCCTCTTTGTGTGTGTGTGTGGTTCAGAGTTGTGTCTGGAGTCATGGGTAGAGCCAGGGCCTGAAATGTGCACAGATGCCTTCCTCTTTCAGCTTATACTTTCACTCTGTTCTTCCTGCTCCTCATAAAGAGTGGCTCACTTTTTGAGCTTCTTCCTCCAGTTCATATGAATCCTTTCCACTCTCTTCCTCACTGCCCAATGACCTGTTGGAATAGTCTGTTTTTTCTGCTTTAGATGAATAGTCTTTGTCATTGTACTCTTCTTCCTCTTCATAATCATCTTCTGAAGGAATAAAAGTCTCATCCTCAATTTCAGATTCCAAATCCCCTTTCTCAGCATCACTCCCCTCACCCTCAGGCTCCAGGAAAAAACAGCCACCTTTTTCAAAGAAACCTTCAGGATCATCAACAATGGTCTTCATAATTTTAGTCCAGATGAGGGACTGCAATCCTTCTGCATACTTCAAGTCACAGGAATTTAACCATTTCTTGATGGGGTCAAGATAGGCTACAGGAATGGCATTGATCTTCAGTTGAAAGTGAACCCTCTCAAAATGGATTAGTTCCACTTCATCCAATGTCACCACAAAAGGTGGCCATTCTGTAGTATTTACTAGTGCACTACTGTTGGGCTGAAGGAGGTAGGTACTTCTGTAAGGAGGACAATTAAATCTAAAATCTCTAAAAGGCACTTCAAATTCCAGTTACTCCTTAGTTAAAGCCTATACTTTCTCAATGACATTTTGAAAGACTGTTTTCAGTTTGTGCCTCATTTCTCGTTCCATCTGCTTAACATATAGGTCTTCATGGTCATGCATATGCTGGTGTTTTCCCAAGTCTGTAGTGATCTCCCTCACTTCTGTGTAGAACTGAACATCTGTGTGCTGCTTCTTCCCAAACATGATAGCATTCTTGAGGTGTAAGTGCAAGAAAATAATAATTTCTCCATCACGGGGCTGGAACAAAGCATGCTTGATGTTATTGTACAGAATATCTACTTTGTCTCCTTGAACAGATGTGAAGTGAAAAACCATTGACAAGGGTCTCCAGTGTGCCCTGCATCCTCTTTTGGGCAATGTTTGAGCAAATGTACAGATCTTCCAGTTTGGGATTACTCTGGTGAGATTGACCACCAGTGAGTCTTGTTGCACAATGCCCTCTTTCTCTTTCTCCTCTGCTTCTCAAGTCTTGTATTGTTTCTATACTTCTTTTTTTATGATATTCTTTTTATTGAAAAAGAATATAAAATAGCTCCAAAAATAGATTTTACATTATTACTTTGCTTATAGATGTTTTTATGCTTTTTGCAGGAATTTACTTCCTGTAACAATTTTTGCTTTATCTGGGCAATTCTAGATTTCTTAAAACCAGAATTAAAGGACAAACCTTTAGGAGTTCAGCAGAAATCCTTGTTGGTTACCTGCAACTATGAAGCCAGGAAACTTGGAGTTAAGAAATTGATGAGTATCAGAGATGCAAAAGAAAAATGTCCACAGCTGGTATTAGTTAATGGAGAAGACTTGACTCAGTATAGAGAGATGTCATACAAGGTTACAGAGCTATTAGAAGAATTTAGTCCAATTGTTGAAAGACTTGAATTTGATGAAAACTTTGTGGATGTAACAGAAATGGTTGAGAAGAGACTACAGCAGCTTCAAAGTGACGACCGTTCCTTGTCAGTGTCGGGTCACGTATACAATGATCAGTACAGCCTTTATGGAATCTCATCCAGCCTTACCTGCCAATCTCTTATTTTATGAAATAATTTTTACAAACTCTTGGCAAAAGAAAATAATAGTTCTTCACTTGTTAAGTGTAAATGACTAATAGATACTTGCTTTGGGAAGTAGACTACCACTCGTGGCCTAGAGCTGTCAACCTGCATGACATCTTGCACATCAGGCTGCTTGTGGGCTTTCAGATTGCAGCAGAGATGCGGGAAGCCTTATGCAGTCGGCTTGGTCTCACCGGCTGTGCAGGGGTGGCTTCCAACAAACTGCTGACGAAATTAGTTGGTGGCGTCTTTAAGCCAAATCAGCAAACAGTCTTATTACCTGAAAGTTGTCAAGATCTCATTAATAGTTTGAAACACATAAAGGAAATGCCTGGTATTGGCTATAAAACTAGCAAACGGCTTGCAGCATTGGATATCACTAGTGTTCACGATCTTCAGATGTTTTCACCCAAAATATTAGAAAAGGAATTTGGAATGGCAGTTTCTCAGCGTCTCCAGAAGCTCAGTTTTGGGAAGGATGACTCTCCTGCGACGCTCTCAGGACCACCGCAGTCCTTTAGTGAAGAAGATTCATTTAAAAAGTGTTCATCAGATGGTGAAGTTAAAAAAAAGATTGCAGAACTACTTGCTAGTCTTTTAAAAAGAGTAAGCCAGGATGGAAGGAAGCCACATACGGTAAGGCTGATAATCCGTCGGTTTTCATCTGAGCAGCACTCTAGTCGGGAGAGTCGTCAGTGCGCCATTCCTTCCCATCTCATTCCGAAGCTGGGGACAGGAAACTATGATGTGACGACCCCAATGGTTGATATACTTATGAAACTTTTTCGAAATATGGTGAATGTGAAGATGCCCTTTCACCTCACTCTTCTGAGTGTGTGCTTCTGCAAACTTAAAGCAACAACTCCTGTTAAGAAAGGACCCCTTCACTATTACTTTAACACCCTCTTTATACTTCTTTTATAATATGGAAAGCGTTCTGAAGATTCAAGACCAGCACTGTCTGTTCTCCAAGTGCCTTCATAACTGAGGCTTAGTATGTAATTTCCTTGACAAAAGTGGCTTCTGGGTTAGGAAAGATGCTGCCCTCATTCCTGCCCAGAGCACTGCCTGGACAATAAAAGTTGATTCGCAGGTAAGTATAGTCTCCTTCCACAGACATAGTTATATTCTTGATTATAGCAATGTGAAAAGGTGATGCAATGCCAAACACAGGTCTGATTACAGTCTCATACTTCTTATCTATATAGATCTTCATTTCCCAAACAAATTAATCCTTAGACATCAAAGATGGGTTCCTGTAGGATACATTAGATTTGTGAGCCATTTGAATCTACTGTTCTCCCTTTTGTTTCATCAATCACCTCTTTGCTTCCTTCTCGAGTTGAGCTGCAGTTCTTCCTTCTGCTGTGCTCTTCGCTTCTCTCTGCTACATTTTTCTCTTCTTCCTTCCTCTTCCTCATCTTCATTCCTTAGAAATATTACCACATTTTTTTCACTTTTTCTTCGCACAAGTCGTAACAGTAGCTGGGCCATCCTCATCCATAAGTATGTGTCATCAATGAATAGAGCATAGATTTTCTCTTCTGTTCCCCGGCCCTTTATTAGTCAGTTCTGAGAATTCCAAATAGTTGCTAAAAAACATTCTTTTCTTCATTTTATATTGGTTTTTACTATTGATTACTAGAGAGCCCTCACACTATTCTATTCCCATGTCTGACCCCAGATTTTTTGTAATTTTATTCTGCAGCTCTGGCTTCTGCTTTTTAAACACCTCCATGACAGCATTCTACACATCACAGATCTTTGCACCATATCTTAATTTCTTCAGAAGCTCCTCTTGAAGCTGGAGTAAAAAGTTGTAATTCTCTTAAACTTCCTGAGAAGAATCAACCATCAAAGTTTGAACAAGGTTGGAGCAGTAAGATTTAAAACTAATACCCATGGCACAAGTGATGGACCCAAAATGCATATAATTCTTATCATTGATCACACTGAACTAGAGATTATAGTTACCACCACTTTGGATGATAGGAGGGTAACACATTTCCTCAGTAGAAGGGTCTGCCCCTGCTAGGTATTTCGTCTCTTCAATGGCCTTTTCAACAGACTCTGCTATTTTGCTGTGTCTTACTTTCTTATCTGCATCAACTATTTCCATGACTTTTTCCTTGAAATATTTGTTGAAGACTTCAGAAGTGATACTGGCCACCTTCTTCATTAAGTTGAGTTCTCCATTCTCTTTCACTGCACTGGTGTAAGCCACCACTGTACTGATGTCTATTTTGTGAAAGCCCTCTTTGTTGAGGCAGTCATTCCAGCTCCTTATGCACTCTCCAGGGAATATGTCTTTGCTAAACACCCCAATCTTCTTTATAGTCTTGCTTTCTTTCATGGTTTCAATCATTTTATCAAAGCTGCTCTTATTACTTTCATT